GGCTGGGGATTAGAACCCGCCACCTTAGGTGTACGTGGCTGGCGCCTTAGCCGGTTGAGCTATAGGCGCCGAGCCATGAGTAACTTTCATTTCTTTAATCTTTCCATATTATCAGAATGTCCCATCATGAGTATGTAATATTTTACATATTATTCCAAGAGTATTAACAGTTCTTTTCATTTTGATGAGAAGAAAAGATCTTAACAAGTATACTGTTAGAAAGATAAGGTACCATGTTTCAGTAACATACGAATTTATTATTTTTCCTAAAAGTTTTTTACCTGTTTGTTCAACAGCTTGTCAAACAGCTTCACCTTTACTGCCTGAACACCTTCATCCAGTCCCGGGCACTGAGCGTCGAGTTTCCAGAAATGATGTCTGAAGTTATTGCTGCACAGTTACCCAAGATCTTGGCAGGGATGGTGAAACCTCTTCTCTTTCATAAAAAGTGAATGTCTTTTTTTTCTTTAAAAAAATTAAATTTTCTGATATGTCTTTTTTTTTTTTTTTTTTGGTCAGGATTATGAGGTTTCATGTTTTTATAATGTTCTCCTGAAGGCCTTACATTTATAATATAACATGTATGTTTCAGAGAAAAGTTGTGAAATTCTAATTATTTTCCTTCATCAGGTATAATTAGAATTTTTAAAGTCCTTTTGTGTACCCATATTTTCTTTAAGTGTTTACAAGATTGAAAAAGTGCAAAACTTGGTTGTCGAAGTAAACTATATCTTATCCATGTTGTTTCATACTGTTTAGGTGAGGATTTTTAACTTTTACAGCTAACAAATCTAAAAAAAACCTTACACGTAATAACAAGATGCTATTGTATATGTTATTTCTAGGTTGCTTCCTTGCCTTCTCAACTATATTTCCAAAGATGAACCTTTAAAATGGATGCAAATTTTGTCTAGTGTATATACATTTCTTTTAGAAGGAAATTCATAGCCTTGATCAGATTTTGAAATGTCTTTTTAATGCAAAAAATATAGAAAGAGTTAGAAAACACTGTAAAAGATGTTTCTCAACCTGGGCAAGACAGCTCCTATGGGAAACACAAATCTCTAAGGAAGTTAATAAGTAGAGCCATATTATTATGACAGCAGTATTGTGGGTTTTGTAGTTTCTTTTACCAACTCTTTTTGAAAGAATGTTGTCCTCTGATTAAGTATTTTGAATAGAAATATAAGTCAGAAGATTCTGTGGCCTAACTCCACTCCTGTGGTGTGTGGAAAGTCAGTCAACCTCACTGATTCTTGAGTTCCTCACCTTCCAACATGGTACGATATTATCTTTCCAGCCAGTTGCTCCTTTGGCCAGATTATTAGCATCTTCTCAGATCAAAGAAGGAAGAAAGGGAGAGCGGAAGGGAGGGAGGAAGCAAGGGAGGGAAATAAAGAGGAGGGAAGAAGGATAAACCTTACCCTCTTTCTCCAAACCTCAAGAACTTGAGAACGGTGTTCTTTTTCAGTGAGGCACAAAAGACAAATCCAAGATGGAAATTTTTTGAGTGCCTTTGATCCATTTCTAACAGAGATGCTTCAGGAAATACTAGATACTGACTTAAAACAATACAACCTATCACAGTAAATAGAAAACCACAGTTCACATTGTTATATGAACTTAAAATATTCTTTTACAAGACAGACAAAAGTTCTTTTCTAAGGTGAGTCACTGGAGATTCCTTTGTTTAAAAAGAGGAAAAAAAAATATATATATATATATAAACAGGAAGTTTTTATACCAAGTTCATACCACTTATGAAATTCAATCAAAACCAAACATCGTTTACTTTTCTAAGTAAATTATACCAATCTAGCATATACATACACGTATTTATAATTATAACTCAGAGAAACTAGTAGACCCAATTTTCTTTTTCTAAATTTCTTTACAATTGGATATCTTATCCTATAAATAAAACATACCACTTTATGAAGATTAGTAGTTGTTAATGTGAAAATCAAATAACTTTGAAAATACAGAAAAAAAATTTACTGAATTTCTAATTTCTCAGTGAATTTTTAATTACCCATTCCTTTCAACTGAAAATACTTGCAGTTTACCAAAAGACAATAACATGGAATATTCTTAATGAATACTAATATGACCCCCAAAACAAGGTAAAGTGGTTTTATCTGATTTTAAAATTGGCATAGTAATGTTGCCATAACCATTTTTTACCAAAAATTCTTCAATTTTCAGAAATAATTAGCTATGGGATATCTATAAACAGTATGTTTCTACAAAGCTTTGAAGTAGGGATTTAAACAAGTTCCAACCAGGGATTTGGGCTAGGTTCACTAGTTATATATGAGAAATATAATAAATAATATACATTTATAACTTTTGGTTATAACATTCAGGAGTGAAACCCAAGTATTCCAGATAATCTCAACATTATATAAAAATAATCTCTTCTTTAGTATGTGTGTATATACATACACATAAACATATATATGTCCTTTTCTAGAATACTGGATGAATTACAGTAGACTCTTGACTTTTTTTTTCTTGACATTTTTGTTCTTCAAAGTCTTTATACACATAAACACTCTTTCCACTCTCCAGGTCAAAGTTACCTTTCTTAAAAGGACCTAGTTACGCATTTTCTCACTGTGAAACATTTACTGACTTCAAATCACCTACCACAGCGATTCTTAGTCATAGCTGCATATGGTAATTTCCAGATAGGCTTTTTAAAATGCATTCCTGAGCTCTAAGACCAGTGATTCTGGTTTAACTGGTCCACTCTTACTAATGCAGGAACGCAGAAGGTTCTCTGAAATAGCGTTTGAGCATCAAGTCCCATAACTTTCTTCTCTTTATCCGGCACTGACATGGATTCATTTTATGTTCCAGCCATGCACGTATTTTTAACTCAACCAAAATATTTCAAGACTCAACCAAATATCCTTTCTGTAAAATCTTCCCCGGGTCTTGCAGACAGTGATTTGCCTGTTGGTAAAGTTCACCTGCCCTTTTTTGCACATCTGAATTACAGTAGCACATTCTCTGCACATCTGGACGACAGTGTTTTGTGGACTGAGGGTGGCGTGGTGCACTCTGTGTTTTTTGTGGACTGAGGGTGGCGTGGTGCACTCTGTGTTTTTTGTGGACTGAGGGTGGCGTGGCGCACTCTGTGTTTTTTGTGGACTGAAGGTGCGTGGCGCACTCTGTGTTTTTTGTGGACTGAGGGTGGCGTGGCGCACTCTGTGTTTTTTGTGGACTGAGGGTGGCGTGGCTCACTCTATGTTTTTTGTGGACTGAGGGTGGCGTGGTGCACTCTGTGTTTTTTGTGGACTGAGGGTGGCATGGTGCACTCTGTGTTTTTTGTGGACTGAATGTGCGTGGCGCACTCTGTCTGTCTTTGGCTCGCTCTATCCCACACAGATCTCTCCATTCTCAGTTCCCATCTTGTATGTCTCTGTACCTAGGACTCCATCACGTCCTCTTCCCATGTTTCCTTGTCTGCATCTCTCCATTTCTTTCGATACTTTTAACTTTCTACTTGTTCTCCCTGTTTGTGAGATCCCTCCCTTTACTGCCTATGACATAGAAGTACATTTTATGTGAATTGAGAAAAAATGGTTTTTTTGTGCCTTGTTCTACATTTTAAAACTGAATGAATGAAATCTTATTTCCCTCCCTAAGAAAAGTTTCAGATACAATTGTTTCTTATGTTTGAGGAGACTTAAATTGCTTTATATTGTAAACCTCAGCATAAAAAGGTTCCTCATTTTTTATTTCATTCCACAAATAGCTATTGAGTATCTCCCATTATCACCAAAAATATGCTAATAAGCTTTATGAGAATTTAGAGCTATAGAAAGACTGTAACTCAAGGCCATTACAGACCAGAAGCAGGTATAAGTTACAGTTCCTGATAAACAGGAGGGACTCCAACGGCAAATGTTAGACGTGCAAGTGCCAAGCATTGTTTACATATAATTTTACTGGGACAAATGCAGCACAGTGATACTGACTTTAAAATCGACATTGAATAACACCTGTAGTTGCATCAATATTTCAGTTATGTTAAATCTATGTGTACGTTTTTTTATTGAAAAAGCTTTCCATATCTTTTTCCCCATAAATGTCATCCCAACAAAAGTATTTTTACTATCAATCACATACAATAGAAAGGAAATCTACCTCTGTGGGAGTGATACCTGAGAATAGACTTGTGACATAAGTAAATGAATGTAGTTCTGCCAATCCCCCCCCGAAAAAAAAAACCAAAAAATGCCATTAGCCCTTTATACTCAAGTAATGGACTCAGGGAACGATTAATGATGTGATCATTTTATTATCTGATTATTGCTACCTTGAATTCATGTTTAATATTACATATATTTTGAAGATATAAACCCTTTTTAATGGCACAGAGTTAATTTCCATAGTATTTTTTTAAATCTCCTGATTTCACTCAACTATAAGGGATGGAGCGCTGTGGCCACAGGTCTGGCTCTTGTTAAGAATGTTTGTTATTTCTGATGCTGATCTGGATCCACAATGTAGATTTCTAAACACTAGGATTTAATATTTAAGACAAAGCTTTAAAAAACACTTAAAAAAGAATACGATATCACATGGAAGCTATCTAGTTTCTAAATCTTTTCCTCTACAAATTCCTACCTATTATATCTCCATCACCGTGTGGTCATTATAACCTTTATCTTCATTGTAGAGGTCCCATCCTTTCTGGTAGGTCTAGAGTGAAATTAAATCATAAGAAGACAGGTCGTATATCAGGAAATACTTGAAGGAAACACTGGTATAGATTCTTGAGTTAGTGAAAATATTTTCATTAAGAAGGCTTAAAAAGTCATTTGTATCTTAAGCAATTATATTTCAAATATACATTGTTATGTGACAATTTTTGGTGTGTTTTCAGTGTTTAAAGACATGGCACTTTTTAATAAGGCAATGTTATGCTATTATTTTTTTTCACATTTAACATTAGAGTAATTTATTGCTATATGGATGATATGGAAATATGATAAGCAATATGTCTTCTGCCAAAACGATGCCTTTTCAGTAGCCATAGTATGTCGGCCTGTAACTTCTATCAGCTCCAGTGATGTGTTGATAGTGGGCACTGGAGAGAGCTGACCCAGGACCACTCCCCACCTCTTTGCCACTGACTAGCTGGATGAGCTAACGAAAGTCTTTTAACCTCTCTGATTAACCCTGCCTTTTCCCAAGTGTTTCGTGATTAATAGAAATGGAAACAAAAAAGGTATACAAGTGTTGTTTAAAAAAGTAATTGTCATTATTTTGTTTTAATTAAGCCATAGTTCAGGCTACACTTTTATCAAATTAATCAGCTATCTTCTATAGCAAAACCAGCCATCTAGACATCCAGTAGCTTTATTCCTAGTACTATGCTATGATATAGTTGATTGATTCATCTGAAATTAGAACTAGAAGTATTCACGTAATTTCTTCCCCTACAAAGATAGTCTTTTGAGGTTGCAGCCTGTTT